ACATGATGCTAGTAAATGACACCAAGTCGACACCTGTATCATTAACACAAACCAGATATTACAGATACATTTATGTGATAGGAACCAGCCTGATCAACCGTACCGCGAGCCAGGGAAAACATTTTTAAGGATTTCGTTTACCATAAGTACATCTTTATGTAATGCATCTCATCGGAACTGGAAGTATACATAATCATCGTACTCACATACATATATATGCTGGATACAGATATTACGATACAGGTTTTAATTATAGACATACATTTATATAGTTATTGCCATGTTATCAATCATTCAAAATAAGGTAACGAAGGGGGACGTTTCTTAACAATAATTCTACAGACTATATATTACAACATCAACTGAAAAAGTTGAGTAGCAATTTTGAACATCAATGTTACTTAGTTACAGTATGGCCAAACGGGCACAGATCCTCCTTCTTTCTGAATGACGTGGTCGCGGTCATTAGTGTCCCTCACGCGGATTTTCCCGTTGGTTGTCCAAGCTTTCTTAATAAGTTTTTTCTTTGCTAACTGAGGAGCATGGAAGAAGAGGGAATCGCGCAATTTGGTCAGATCCTCATTAACAGATATTGACTCCTTCCAAAGATCGTAATTTTGGACTATTAATGAGCAGATTGCGTTTAGCATCACTAGACTTAAGGCGCACAATGATCTGTCTAGCTTTCGGGGGACCATTCCTTCCCTGTCGAGGCTTGCCCACACGGTGGGAACGCTCGATGTCATCACTTGTTATGGGGATATTGGCCTTAGTACATATGTCAACTACAAGGGAAGTAGTATCTTCGGCTGTAGGTTCGCTACCAAAAGACGCCATCTCCTTTATACCGGAAAAACGGACTAATGGACGTCGTCCGTATTGTTCGACGTCATCAATTGCTAACCGCAACTGTCTATTTTCATTTTCGAGGGCCTGCAATCTCTCCTGAATAGGTGTTACTTCCTATAAGACCATCTGCCGGAGTCTGTCCTCGGTTTTTTTAAGTACACGATCGGCTATTTTATCTATCTGATCGTCGGTTAAAGTAACCGATATTGGTCGGTTTACAACCGATTGGGCAATATGTACATGCTGTCCATGAGTGTACACAAAACGGGGGTCCATATTAGCTGATGAGGGGATGGGTATATTTGCCTCTTCAGCCATATAAAATGGATAATTGTCAGAGACCTCGGGTTCGGGCAAGTCCAAGATGTAACTATATGGAGAAGACTTTTTACTTTCGGGTAGGTCAGGAGACGATCATGAGCTCGTATCGCTACGCGTTCTTTTATTAGACTCAGAGTCTCGATGGGTATTGGACATATCAGCAAAACAAATAATGTGTACCCAGCGTACGCGAGTTGGCTAGGGTAATGGATTGTGAGTTATGCTAAGCAAGCAGCGTGAGCACACTATCTGTAAACAAGATTCAGTCAGGCGTAGCCGTGTGGATAGGTATTGATTATGTGGAAAGGTCGGTTTCTGCCGTGTGAGTCTTGTTGAGTAAAGGCTGTGTAGCGTTCGGTTGAGTGACCCGGTAGTGGGGTTTTTGGCTCTTACTAGGTGTACGTACCCTTAGTCGCGATGTTAGTAGTACTCTGGGGGGTTCAGCCTAGGGATTACGGAGGGACATTATGTCTGGATTGACTTCTGTCTGCTTCGGGTTGTTATGTCGGCCATCTTGTGAGATGGGCCGTAGTCATTAGTATCACGTAATGTGATTGGTCAGGGCTTCAGCGGCGGAGCCAGTCGCTGAGAGTCTGTTATTAGTTTCTACATCCACCGGATGTTTTTCCACTAGGGTCAAAGGGTATAAAACGGCGATACACGTGCAGTGCCGGGACCTTTTCTGGCCGGAGTTAGGTGAGTTCAGTGGGTTTGCCGCAGTATTACTGATGCTTTGAAGCCAGAGCACTGGGGAATTAGACTTAGGCCTTTACGCTTCGAAACCGAAGTGATAGTTAAATGTAATTAATAATAAGCCTTCTTAGACAGTTGACAATCTGAAAACAGAGGAATACCTTCACTGTTTATAGTAATGTCGTAAGGCTGTCACCTTAGTCAGTAAGCTGCGGGGCACGCTCCGAAACCGGAGTGAGGGCTGGAATTCACGTGGTATTAGACTAGTATACAGTTGAATTATGTAGACCGCTCTGAAATCAGAGTGAAAGAGTTTATTTGCTCTCCATTGGTGTAGTGTCAAATTCTGACCATGTAGCTTATAGTTAGTAGCTATTATGTAGGTTTCTACGGGAGGGGGTTGGTTTTTAGCCCGTCTCGTAGGCAGACCAGTGTACTTTAAAAGTTTGGAGTTCAGTAGATAGGTTTAGTCTATTTAATGTAGCCAGTTTTGTTCTAAAACGACAGTATCTGTGGGGGGCGCACTGGACCCCAGTTTATTTCACGTTGTCAGGTCTTGTTGTTTTGCTGCTTAGTTTATTTTTGTCGCTAATTTACATTTTTGTTAGATTTTCTGCTGGCTTTTTACACCTTGGTTGACTGATTTTTACTTATGTTAAATTGTTTATTTTTGTTTATACTTTGTTATTGCTCCGGCACTATTCGCTGATATTCCATTGACAATTAAATAGTGGAACTTGAATCTTGGCGTTGTTGTGGGTCTTTCCTAACACTTCGACTAATCAGGAGAAAAGAACCGGAAGGTGTGCCTGGGAGTTGACTGTTGGCCACTGTTTAGTAACTCGATTTTGGCCTTGTACATTTGTACACTTTAAAAATACACAACGCGAAGTCATTTGTGTGGCAAACTCTCATCTCCTGAGCCCGCCTACTACAATTATATATACATGTAGATGCAGGATATAAATTCAGTTTCAAAAGACACAATACCCCCAAATATATATCCAGCAGTGTAACATGACTCCTTACAAATCACATGGCAGACTTTCACAACAAAACTCCTGCACTAAGTCTTGGAATTTCACATAATTCTCCGGATAGATCTACCCACTGTTGTCACTGCAAGGGCAGATCACTCTCGAATGAGCATGAACCAATTTTGTTTATTTTAAAAATAAATTATATCTTATTCATTTTAACTGCCTTTTGAAATTTTATACATCTGTTGAAAAGATTGTGTAATACGGTCATTGGTACATTGAACACGATTTAGTTACAAGCGGTCTACGCCTAGTTAGGGAATCCTTGAAGATTTTTTTTAAATATTTTATTTTATTTTAGACATGTTGAATGGGAATGATTAATTATTTTAAATGTAATGCATCTTCAAACGACAAAATTTGAAAGAATGATTTCATTTTCATTTGCTTACAGGCTATTACAATAGTAGCTACGCATAATGTTGTTAAATTCTGAAATCACCCATATATGTCATTATCAATAAAACTGGTTAAATCATTTTAAATTCGAATTCTCTGCATGCGTTGCAAGTTTATTATTTTGTCCTGCCAGGAACTGCAATACCTGCAGGTAGGGAGCTATTCCCGTAACTATTATTGCAGGATCGCTAGATGTAACTTAATTTGGGATCTGTTTATTTGTAAGGATCTTTCCTCTAGGATTACCACTGACAGTGCCTCACTTTTGGCCTTTAGATGACCATTCTTCCCTTTGAGAGAGGCCTTAGGTTTTGCTTCGTCCGAAAACACCAGACTCGTCAAAATGGTCGTTACTACTTCCTGACCAACGCTCAGCATTATAGTAGTAAACACCAGAAGTCACATAGCCGTCCTTAAACGACCATAGTTGTTTATATGACGTTAAGTTACATAAAAACAGACATCAAAACTATTAACTGCCATAAGCCATACTATTTATCATGGTGTATATAGACATATACAGTGTTACATCGCAAAAACGCAAAAAGAAATGGTCTTTGAATTTGAGACAAAATTAATGCGAATAGTGTATTTTACGGTGGTAAGTGTCACATGTAAGCATGGACAACGTCTTCATAATTTCGTTACATGCCAGGTAAGTCCTGAACTCAATTTTTAGAATATCAATTAGTTCTCATTAGGGACATTTTGCTGTTATCTTGCTCTATTTTATGGAATTTGAGTTTGAATTAAGACTCTATTGTCATTTCGGTATTTTCTTTGCTTTTCGTTTTATCAGTAACGGTTAAAGATAAATTCATGTGGTAAAAAAATCGTATTTTTCACTCGTGTTGCGCATTAATCTTCGTTATGTTAGAAATATCTTCTGAAAAGGTGACGACCAGGCGAATAACCTGTAAGCTTTAGATAGACTTTAAATACATCTCTATATATATTTTAACCATTGTATCTAAAAACTCTTTAATGAGAGGTGATTTCCGTCCAATACATCATTAGCTGACAGATATACTTACAAACCAAGATTGAGAGAGAATCTGTGTGGTCATCACCAATGATCTCATTGACAAATGTTCGTTTTCTTTGTGTAATATTAAGAGTTGAAAAACTCTTACTCGGCTCTCTGTTCGTTCGCACATTTCTTTTGTTCATATTTTGAATTCATGAGTTTGAATTCGATTTATCATGTTACGTGTTACCATGCTATGTGTCGTTAGTCCACACGACGTACAACTATTTCTACATCAAATGTCACAGTCTTTTGTTTTTAACTGTTCATGATATGTAAGTCAGGTTTTACTAATTCAGAAGCATTTCATATGTTTGTAGATATTTATGTCAACATTTCTTAATGCTGGTCAGTGTGACTCGTGTATGTTTTCCTATTTCAATAGAATTTTCATTGATTCAGCGTCAATGTCCTCTGTGTATTTTCACTGTTGTGTTTTTTTAAAAGATAAGTGTCCATTAATTTAAGTTCTATTGATCCATCTCGACAAAGAAGAAAAGTTGCTTCTTACAGGAATGATAAAGACAATTTATGTAGATTTTAGTACAGATAAAAACCGATCACTTATTTGATATTCATCAAATCTGCTTTAATCATTCATAAATATAAAAATAACAAAAAACGGTACAGGACTATTCAGGATCAGGTGAAGAAAACTATAATCTGGGTGTTTAGTAGACCATTCCTCCCTCTGTAAGAGACAAATCAGATCATTAGTCATAGTAAGTATGAACACATTAAACACAACAACCATTCCTAATAGTACAGAGGTTTAAACATTAAGGACATCATTTGTAATACTAAAATCCTCGTTTTCCTATGGGATACAAACACGTTCCGTTAAAAACATTTGCTTGTATAAATGGTATATACAGTTTCATTTGTGATAGCGCAATTTGCCTTGAAGCAAAACTTGAATTTATCGTCTTTATGAATACTCTCATTTTATTAGAGAATTTGAGACTATACTTACTTCTGCCAAATCCACCACCAATGACAACGCCGCCTCCCATTCCCTTTCCATATGATGGATAAGCCTGTCCGTATCCCATATTTCCATATCCTCCCTTTCCGAAGCCACCACTGACGGTTATAATGTTTCCTCCGAAACCGCCTTTTCCACCCCAGCCGCCACCTTTTCCATATCCTCCCCAGCCGCCTCCTTTTCCGTAGCCTCCGTAACCGCCTCCGAATCCTTTTCCATAACTTATAACGTTACCACCTTTTCCATATCCTCCCCAGCCGCCTCCTTTTCCATAACCTCCCCAGCTACCTCCTTTTCCGTAACCTCCGTAACCGCCTCCGAATCCTTTTCCATAACTTATAACGTTACCACCTTTTCCATAACCTCCCCAGCCGCCTCCTTTTCCATAACCTCCCCAGCTACCTCCTTTTCCGTAACCTCCCCAGTTGCCTCCATTTGAGTAACCTCCCCAGCCACCGCCTTTTCCATAACCTCCATATCCACTGCTGATGATTACGCCACCTCCCTTTCCGTATCCGCCGTCGTATCCCATATATCCTCCGTAGCCCTTTCCTCCTCCATTTCCTATAATGATTCCTCCGTTTCCTCCACCAAACCCGTAGCCACCGTAGCCTTTACCATATCCGCTACCTGATACGATGTATTCGTCACCATAGTAGGTAGCGCAGGTCACGCCCACCAAGGCTACTAGGACCGCAACTGAGGCTCTCATCATGTAGGTACCTTCTGTAATAACATGGTTACTATATATACACCAGCTAATAGATAACGCCTTTACATCTCAAGTAATAGTATATTCAATCTCCCATTTTAATCAGTAGAGCGTATTCACAATCAAGGTGAAATTCTGATCGCTATGCCTTGAAAAATTAGTGAAAGATAATCAAATGAAAAATTATGTTTAATATTTGTAACTGCAAGATTACTCAATTAAATAATTTTTGAAGAATTCTAAGTAATATTTTGGTATATTCGGTCATTCGAAAATCTACAATTAACGCATATATAACATTCATAATTTGTAGTATAGATTTGTTAATTACCAGATTCTTGTAAAGGCTGCGAAATTCGTGGCAGTTAAAAAAAGTTTTGTTCAAGTACAGAAACTTGAAGTCAAAAGCAAATAGAATGCTACATAATGTATATATAAAACGTACGTTGAAGAATCCGGATAAAGTCTGAATTCACAGTTTATAAATTTCTAAAGAATATCTTGGAACATATGTTACTTCGACCTCAACGACAACAGTATTGTTAAGTAGATAACCTGTTCTGTTTAATACTGGTGATAGTTGTATACAGGTATTCAACTTTGTCTTGAAGCGTTATAGCCGATATCAAACAAAGGAGAAGTTTTAAAATACAGACATAGAGAATATCCCGGAATCGACAGCGTCTTTTATCTTAGTTTTATCACCTTAGTTTCGAGCACCTTATCCTCTAAGTATTCCTTTAGGTTACCGTAAGATATCTATACTTGTTGTCTATCTATTTTTGATACTAAATCATGATTGGAATAATAGATGATACAACGTGTATGTTGATTATCGGAATACAAACTGTTGGTAGAATACAATAAAGAAAACATATTCAAGTATACACGCCACTGACTTTAAATATATAATTGACTCTAGTTTCACTAAATCAAATTAAGCTTATGTCGACTGAATCGGTCTCAAATACAACACTGATTTGTTTAATAAAAAACAACAAGCCATCAATAGAATATAGCAACCGTTATGTTTCCTCGCATGAAATAACTGCGTGGAACGATTGAATCTCAAAATGTAATATTTATGCAGCCGTATCTAAAAAATTCTAGATGTTTTTACAATATGTTCACTCATTGAAAATAAGGATATATTCATATCAAATTAACAAAGATAACATAAATAAGATCATTAAAAATCTACAATATTGATAAGATATAGTAGCTATTGTGATGTGTACTTACCTGCGGTAGTGAACAGCTGTAGTTGGTATGGTAAGGTAGTGCGCACACTGCTATATATATACAAATCTGTGACGTTTTGATGGTTCTGAGATCTATCAAGGTTCGTCCCACTTCCCTGGACCAAGGTCGCCGAGATGACAAATCAAGTGGTCATTAATACTGCGATATGGTAATGAGGATATCCACGACAGTATGTGCACTAATAATGCAAAGTGAGCAAGAAGAGATGAGCGGGCAATGACAAATTTATAGCCTTAGTAATGTGATGCAGAGCTTAAAAATGTGTTGCTGTCAATCAGCAGCCAGCTAACTGTATCGATGATCGGCAATATATTTTCACCATATTTCCCTCTGTCTGACCACTTGTCACGCCGTTTTTCTATTATTGGCATATGTAATGATTGACAAACTTACTATCGCGCACCAGGAAGGGGAAAACAAAACTGTCACGTTTTACAAAAAGCTAACGGGCAATGTTTCCAAGTTTCGTTTTCTTATATCAACCCCTGTACCGATAACTATATTTGCGCAATATCAGAACTTGCATTTCACGTTCCATATATTCCAAACTGAAACGAAACAGCTAGATATCAAAACTACAGTAAATGTATTTAATCAAGCACAATCATATTTATTATTGGTATATCGCTCATCAGTTGTAATTGTTATCTTAAAAACGAAATTCATAAGTAGCAAATATCACAAAAATGGTTTAGCGCAAAAAGGACGCACGAAAAGTGATTACTGTGTGTATATGTATGTTTACCGTAAATGGTGAAGATTATTTTTCTATTTTAACAAAGATCATTAAAAGGAATTATTTTCGCTTCCTCTCTTACACTCCTTTATAACGATAGCGACAACATATCTAAATGGTTTTACTATGGATTGATTTGTTTATTTTCATGACACAATAAAAATCAAGTCTAATAACATATATGAACTACCTGTGATCCGTTTTATTTAAATCGATATGATGGTGTATTACCAAAATATCAAATGTTTTAAATCAGGAAAGAGATAAACTTAACTGTAACATATTAATAAGAACTTCGGGAAATCGATAAAAAATTCACCACATGGGGATGGAATATCACACCAAGAGGAAATACATCAACGCACATCTGTCTCCTTTCTATATGACAGTTGTATTACGTTTTTGTTCTCTCTCTCTCTCTCTCTCTCTCTCTCTCTCTCTCTCTCTCTCTCTCTCTCTCTCTCTCTCTATATATATATATATCTTTCTTTCCCTTACTCTCTGTCCCTGTCTCTCTCTCTAAATATATATATCCCTCCCTCTGTCTGTCTGTCTCTCTTTCTCCCCCCTCTCTGTCTCTCTGTCTCTCCCTCCCTCCCTCTGTCTGTCTGTCTGTCTGTCTGTCTGTCTGTCTGTCTCTCTCTCTCTCTCTCTCTCTCTCTCTATATATATATATATATATATCTCCCTCTCTCTGTCTGTCTCTCTCTCTCTCTATCTCTCTCTCTGTCGGAAAATTGAATCTTTACCTATTCCAGTTCGTTTAAGGAATCGAACCTCGTACAGCTAGGCGAAAGGTGAGTGCGGTATCATTTTGTCACCCGATCACCTATAGTCATCGATTTTATACCTTCAGTGTAAAAGTATGCTTAAAAATATAGATAGATTACATGTTACAAACATAATTTCATAAAAGTTTCATCTCATTATCTTATTGGGTGTAGGTAGTCAACCTGTCAAGTAAGAAATATCATTGCTCTTAACGCCATTAAAAATTCAATAAATTTCATACTTTTCACAAATTTGATAATTTCAAAAGAACGTCTATGTGTATGTTCTGAACTGTGCTACTATTTGATTTAATTAAAATGTGTTATGGAAGTGACGGCAAACCTCGCGGAATAAATGTCCAACAGCTGTTTCTACCACCGGCAATCTCAAAAATTGTGCAAAAGACACACAAGACAATTATCATTTGTCATGCAGTCGGAATTTCAGTTAGTGCCTACCTGCTGACATGCGGGTTGTCAATTGATGGATTGCTAATTCAAACAAATCAATCTGAAGTGAAAGCTGAAAATCGATTATACTCAGGTTTGTTCTGTTAAACGAGGATTTAAAATCTCGGACTTATTAGAAAATAAAATATGCTAATTTGATAAACAACAGCGTTCATTTCCTATAATCGCTTAGAAATGAAATTAAAAGGAATCGTTTAACACATTAAGGACGTAATTAAGATATTCTCATCTCGTATGCTCTTCTTTAAACTCTTGAACAAGTTAAATTTTTGATATAGTTTCAGATGAAAAGAATTACTGAAAAAATATTGCAAAATGTAAGTAAATCAATATCAAAAAGAAACATTATTTCCTTGATTTTCGATTCCTCTGTCTTCCATGTCGCAGTTGATTTTTGACTTTTGCTGAAATAGTACATATTTTGGAAACTTACTTCTGAAACAATGAATTTTCTTTAGTAGCTAATTTCGGGAAGTTGATATCAAGGGAAATAATGCACAGGTTCTATAATCGCTAAATAATCGTTACTTGATTTGAACCTATACTCTTTACGTGTTTTCTATGGTGAAGTCGGAAGCTTATTACTTTAATTTTCACTATCATTTAAGAATATCATTGACGGTGTTACTTTTACTCAAATTTTTCTCTCTTGGCATTGTCCAATTATACTTCTCTCTCATTTATGAAGCAAGACCTAGACATATAACTCGTGCAAAGTCAATGTATAAATAGCGTCATTTTGCAAAAAATAATGCCCATAACTGATATGGTTTACTATTCTGAAGTGTGTACTATTTTACTCTTTGTATTGTTCTTCGTGATTTGATTTAGAGACATATAAAGCCTGGTTTGAGTTAAGAAACAAGGACTCTATGACTGTATGATGCAATTGATGTCATGAATCATTAAAGCTATGCTTTGAAAGTTATGTACTTTTTGGACAATCCTATAGCTTCACGCATGCCTTTTTATAGATTAATATGCATGTATCTAACAATTAAGAATTTTTCTGAAACTTAGTAACATAATTATTTGAATATCTATAGCTATCTATCCTTCAGGATTTTAGATAAAAACTAGCCAAATCATCTGTATTTGCAACTGTGTCTAAAATGTTACTCTTTTGTAACCATTGATTGACGAATATGATTTTAAAATGAATTATCAATATGTCCTGTTGTTGTAGATGTTTAGGAGGAAAGCTCATTTTTCAACAGACGGACGGACGAACAGATCAGGTGATTCCCTAAATTCGTTGTTGGGTGTATGATAATTCCATTGGAGATGAGGTATACATCTTTAAATTGTCAAAACTATATCAAAAACTTCTGCAATATGGTTAAATATTCAGAAACATTTATTATTACGCGTTAAGTGTGAGTTTCTAACTTCGCAGCACATAAATGTCACATCCGAAAATATCTTCGCGGTTTTTCGTAGTCATTGTTTCTTTAGCACATGTTCTCGCACATAAACTTGTGGCCTTGTTATGGCTTAAGTACCGCCATCAATCACAGCTGAGTGATGCTCTGTGATGGCCGGACGGTCGCTACCAAACCTTGTCACTGCCCATCTTAATATTCTATTGTAATGAGTAATTTAATGTTTTCATAGCTCCAATAAAAAGATGTAGAAAGTAATGACAGAAACAAATCTGTGTTTCTCGCCCAATCAATCATTGAACTTATTAAAACTCTCCACCAGGAAGGAATTTACGTTTATTCAGTTTCTGAACTAAACCTCATTCCAAAAAGCAAGAA